TTAAGATGTCAACGCTACCTAAAGCAATCTAGAGATATGAGACAATCTCTAGCTAAATTCCAACTGACACCCCCCTTTTTTTGCAGATACAGAAAAGGTGATCCTCAAATTTATATGGAATTGCAAGGGTTTCTGAATAAACAAAAAAAAAATCTTGAAAATAAAGAACAAATTTGGTCAGAGCATGGTGGCTCATGCCTGTAATCCTAGCCAAGGCAAGAGGATCACCTGAGCCCAAGAGTTCAAAACCAACTTGGGCAACACTGCAAGATTCTGTCTCTATTAAGAAAAATAAAATAAGGAATGAAGTTGGAGGATTCACACTTCTTGAGTTCAAAACTTACTACAAAGCTACAGTAATCAAACACTGTGTGATACTGGCATAAGGAGAGACATATAGACAAAAATAAATAAATAAAGAACCCAGAAATAATGTGTCACATACACAGCCAAACGATTTCGACAAGGCTGCTGAGACCATTCAATAAAGAAAGGAAAAGCATTTAAACCATTTTTAAGTGGTATTAATTATATTCCCAATGTTGAGCAAAGAAACACCCTGGGCCTAACAGCTTCACTAGTAAACATTTAAAGAAAATACCAAACATTTAAAGAAAAACTAATGCCAGGCGCGATGGCTCACACCTGTAATCCCAGCACTTTGGGAAGCCAAGGTGGGTAGATCACGAGGTCTGGAGTTCACTTCTGGCCTGACCAAGATGGCAAAATCCCATCTCCAACTAAAACTACAAAAATTAACCAGGCGCAGTGGCGGGTGCCTGTAATCCCACCTACTCAGGAGGCTGAGGTAGGAGAATCGCCTGAATCCAGGTGGCAGAGGCTGCAGTGAGTTGAGGTCGCGCCACTGCACTCCAGCCTGGCCTGGGCAACAGAGTGAGACTCTGTCTCACAAAAAAAAAAAAAAGAAAGAAAGAAAGAAAGAAAGAAAGAAAGAAAGAAAGTTAAAGAAAATACCAAACATTTAAAGAATCCAGTTGCTAGCGGCTGGATGGCTCTCAACACTAATCCCAGATTTTAACTCAAAAAGGGTGGACTTGCAGACTAGAGTTTGCTGAAGCCAACCTAAGATGGGCAAAAACTTGACTCAATCTAAATTACAAAAATTTAACCAGCTAAGAGTGGCGGTGCACCAAAGAACCTGTAGCTCACCCAGGAGATTGAGGGTAAGAATTGAATTTGTGGTGGCGTGAGGCTGTGGAGAGCTGAGGGTCATGCACTGCACTCACCCAAAAGCAGACCTGGCACTTGGCATGCAGATCTGTCACAAAAAAAAAAAAAAAAAAAGAAAGAAAGAAAGAAAGGAAGAAAGAAAGAAAGAAAGAGAGAGAGAGAGAGAAAGAAAAAAGAAAAACTAGCACCACCTTCTCAAAATCTTCCAAAAAATTGAAAAGGGGGGAATACTATCTAACTCATTCTATGATGCCATCATTGTCCTGACAGCAAAGCCAAACAAAGACACTATTGAAACTACAAACTGATATCCCTCATGAACACCAAAGCAAAATTCTCAATAAAATACCAGCAAATCAAATTCAGTAGCATATTAAAAGGTTTTTATACACCATGATCAAGTGGAATTTATTCCTGGAAAACAAGAAATACAAAAATGGTTTAACATCCAAAAAAAAAAAAAAAAACAATATATTACATTAACAGAATGAATGGGCCGAGCATGGTGGCTCACGCCTGTAATCCCAACACTCTGAGAAGCCGAGGTGGGTAGATCACAAGGTCAGGAGTTCGAGACCAGCCTGGCCAACATGGTGAAACTCCATCTCTACTAAAAATACAAAATTAGCCAGGTGTGGTGGCACACGCCTGTAATCCCAGCTAGGAGGCTGAGGCAGGAGAGTCACTTGAACCCAGGAGGTGGAGGTTGCAGTGAGTGAAGGTCATGCCATTGCACTCCAGCCTGGGCAAAAAGAGCAAAACCCAAACTTAAAAAAAAAAAGAAAAAAAACCCAGAATGAATGAAAAGGAAACACATGATGTTTTGGCCAGGCATGGTGGCTCACACCTGTAATTCCAGCACTTTGGGAAGCTGAGGTTGGCGGATCATGAGGTCAAGAGATCAAGACCATCCTGGCCAACATGGTGAAACTCCATCTCTACTAAAAACACAAAAATTGGCTGGGTGTAGTGGCGCGTGCCTGTAGACCCAGTTACGCAGGAGGCTGACGCAGGAGAATTGCTTGAACCTGGGAGGCAGAGGTTGCAGTGAGCCGAGATCACACCACTGCACTGCAGCCTGGTGACAGAGTGAGACTGTCTCACAAACAAAAAAAAAGTAAGAAAAAGAAACACATGATCATCTCAATAGGTGCAGCAAAACCATCTGACAAAATTTAACACCATTTTATGATCTAAAAAGCACTGAATGAACTACAAATAAAGGAAACAACTTCAATATAATAAAGACCATATATGAAAAATCCATGGTGAACATCATACTCAACAGTGAAAAACTAAAAGCTCTCCTCTAAGATCAGGAAGAAGACAAAGATGCCCTCTTTCACCACTTTTATTCAAAGTAGTACTGAAAGGTCTAGCCAGAGCAATTAGGCAAGAAAAAGAAAGAAAACAGATCTAGATTGGAGAAGTAAAATTATCTGTTTGCAGATGACACGGTCTCATATGTAGAAAACCCTAAAGATTTCACATCCAAAACCCTGCAAGAATGAACAAATTCAACAAAGTAACATGACACTTCCCCCTATTTTTAAAGAAATAACCATCTGTACATTTTTCTTCAAAATTTAACCAATTTCTAGGCATAGAGCTAGATCTAGGTTTATATTCCTTTATCTTCCACAAGGCCTAACTCATTGCTAGGTATATAGTGAGAACCCAATAAATATTTGCTGACTGAACAGCACTTTTTCTTTTTTTTTTTTTGAGATAGGGTCTCACTCTGTCACCAGCCTGGAGTGCAGTGGCACAATCACAGCTCACCGTTTACCCTAACTCCTGGGCTCAAGCTATCCTCCCACCTCAGCCTCCTAAGTAGCTAGGACTACAGGTTCACACCACCTAGCCTAACGTTTTTCTTTTTTGCAGAGACAGGGTCTCACTATATTGTCCAGGCTGGTTTCAAACTCCCGGCCTCAAACTGATCCTCCCTCCTCGGCCTCCCAAAGTACTGAGATTACAGGTGTCAGCCACCACACCTAGATGGGTGGTTTTTAATGCTCCAATAATTCAACTATATGTCTCTTTTATTTTCTAAGATCTTCAAATGACATAATAAATCCAAATAGCTATCTACTTGTTTTTTTTTTTTTTTTTTTTTTTTTTTTTGTTAAAGAGTCTTGCTCTGCCCCCCGGGCTGGAGTGCACTGGCGTGATCTCGGCTCACTGCAAGCTCCGCTGCCTGGGTTCACACCATTCTCCTGCCTCAGCCTCCCGAGTAGCTGGGACTACAGATGCCCAGCTAATTCTTTTGTATTTTCAGTAGAGACGGGGTTTCACCATACTAGCCAGAATGGTCTCGATCTCCTGACCTCGTGATCTGCCCACCTCGGCCTCCCAAAGTGCTGGGATTACAGGCATGAGCCACGACACCCAGCCAGCTATCTACTTTTATTATCTGGCTATCAAAATGAAGCCAAACAGCCTCGATTTATGGTATATTTTCCCTTTAAAAATGTTATCATCAGCCAGGGCAACATGGTGAAACCCCTTCTCTACAAAAAGGTTAGCCAGAAGTGGCAGTATGCACCTATAGTCCCAGCTACTTGGAAGGCTGAGGCAGAAGAATCAGCTGAGTCAAGGAAGTTGAGGCTACAGTGTGCCATGCTCGAGCCACTGCACTCCAGTTTAGGCAACAGAGTGAGACCCCATCTCAAAAAAAAAAAAAAAAAAAAAAAAAGGACAAGTGCAGTGATTCACACTTGCAATCCCAGCACTTTGGGAGGCCATGAGATCATGGGGGGTGGACTGCTTGAGCCCAGGAATTAAAGGTGGGCAACATGGCAAAACCCTGTCTCTACTAAAAATTCAAAACAAAAAAAATTTAACCGATGCCTAATCCAATACACTAGTATGCTCCAATGTATATTTTTTTATTTGCCCCTTAATGAAATTGTATTTTGGTTTTTTGTTTTTTTGTTTTGTTTTGTTTTGTTTTTTGAGACAGAGTCCCGCTGTTGGCCAGGCTGGGGTGCAGTGGCACAATCTCGGCTCACTGCAGCCTCCACCTCTTGGTTTCAAGTCATTCTCCTGCCTCAGCCTCCCAAGTAGCTGGGACTACAGGCGCGTGCTACTATGCCTGTCTAATTTTTTGTGTTTTTAGTAGAGACGGGGTTTCACCATGTTAGCCAGGATGGTCTCGATCTCCTGACCTGGTGATCCGCCTGCCTCGGCCTCCCAAAGTGCTGGGATTACAGCTGTGAGCCATTGCACCTGGGCTATTTTTATTTTTTTAAGAGACAAGATCTTACTCTGTCACCCAGGTTGAAGTACAGTGGCACAATCATAGCTCATTAGACCCTTGAAGTAGGATCAAGTGATCCCTCCACCTCAGACACCCTAGCTACTGGCACTACAGGTGTGCACCACCATGCCTGGCTAATTTATCTTTTTGTAGAAACAGGGTTTTGCTATGTCACGCTGGTCTTGAACTCCTGGCCTCAAGTGATTGGCCTCCCACCTCAGCCTCCCAAAGTGCTGGCAGCCACAGTGCCCAGTTTAATATGCCATCTTAAAACAAAATGAGGGTTGACTAAACTTTTAAATAGGCATTCCATTAATTCAGTGGAATCTTGTCTATGCTAAAAGATGTAAGAATACTTAACTACATCAAAGAGGTAAAATGCTTAGGTTATTGGAGTTAAAGGAACTATTTTTTTTGTTTTATTTTGTGTAAGAGCACGCTTTATTGGCAAGCAGACTGCTGCACACTGACCAACACAGGCCACCCAATGGGCACTTACACATTGTACTCCAAAAGACACAGGGTGAAAAGAAACTGTTTTTATTACCTGTTGAACAGCTAGTGTACTGTCCATTTCATCAAAGGATTCATCAGGCCAATTATAGAAATCCTACGAAAATAAATTCACAGTTAAAGCACATACAAAATACTAGTATGATTAACATCAATTCTTAATAAAGATCCAAAGCTCACACTGGAGGGGAAGAAAAAACTTTTGCAATGTAATTACCAGTGAAATAAGGAAATAAATTTTATTCAATTTTTCTTTTTCAGGGACAGTGTCTCACTCTGTAGCCCATGCTGGTGTGCAGTGGCACAATCATAGCTCACTACAGCCTCAAACTCCTGGGTGTAAGCAATCATCCCACCTCAACCTCTCACCTTAGCCGCCCTATTCTTAGGATTATAGTCCTGACCCACTGTGTCTGGCTGTTTGGTTTTTAAATGAATATCAAGATTTTATTTAAATGAACTACAAATTATGTTTTTTCCAATCACAAATTCCTCAAATATAGCTCCCATAAACCTTTAATGTATTACTTAATTAGGGAGATAAGTCTATCTATCACTTTTTTGTTTATGATGGTTAAATATCTCTCAAAAAGTTACAATGAAAAAAGAAATCTCCAGACACTAAAAAGTAAATCAGATTTTTACCAAAAGAGAATAGCTAGCATTAGTAACTAATTTATAGCTCCATAAGTATTATTATGATGATGATGAGATGGGAGTCTCGTTCTGTCACCAGGCTGGAGTGCAGTCGTGCAATCTCAGCTCACTGCAACCTCTGCCTCCCGGGTTCAAGCGATTCTCCTGCCTCAGCCTCCCAAGTAGCTGGGACTACAGATGCGCACCACCACGTCCAGCTAATTTTTGTATTTTTTGTAGAGACAGGGTTTCACTATGTTGGCCAGGATGGTCTTGATCTCTTGACCTTGCGATCCGCCCACCTCGGCCTCCCAAAGTGCTGGGATTACAGGCCTGAGCCACCATGCCCGATGCATAAGTATTATTTTAAGAAGAAATTATAAATTATTCTTCTCATTCCAAATAGAGTTTTAAATTTCTAAATCAAAATATGGGCACCATTAAAAAGTAATCATGAGGCCGGGCATGGTGGCTTACACCACTAATTCTAGCACTTTGGGAGGCTGAGGCGGAAGGATCACTTGAGGTCAGGAGTTCGAGACCAGCCTGGCCAACATGATGAAACCCCATCTCTACTAAAAATACAAAAAATAGCCGGGCATGGGGGTGTGCGCCTGTAATCCCAACTACTCAGGAGGCTGAGGCAGGAGAACTGCTTGAACCAGGGAGGTGGAAGTTGTGGTCAATCAAGATCACACCACTGCACTCCAGCCTGGGTGACAGAGTGAGACTCCATCTCAAAAAAAAAAAAAAAAAAGGTAATCACCCATGGGTACAAAAAAATAGAAAGAATGAATAAGCCCTAGTACTTGCTAGCACAACAGGGTGACTATAGTAAAAAACAATTTAATTGCACGTTTAAAAAAAGCTAAAAGAATCTAATTTTTTGCAACATAAAGGACAAATGCTTATGGTGATGGATACTCCATTTACCCCCCCCATGTGATTTTTTTTTTTTTTTTTTTTGGAGACGGAGTCTGGCTCTGTTGCCTAGGCTGGAGTGCAGTGGCCAGATCTCAGCTCACTGCAAGCTCCGCCTCCCAGGTGCACGCCATTCTCCTGCCTCAGCCTCCCAAGTAGCTGGGACTACAGACGCCCACCACTTCGCCCGGCTAGTTTTTTGTATTTTTTAGTAGAGACCGGGTTTCACCGTGTTAGCCAGGATGGTCTCGATCTCCTGACCTCGTGATCCGCCCGTCTCGGCCTCCCAGAGTGCTGGGATTACAGGCTTGAGCCACCGCGCCCGGCCTGATGTGATTATTATACATTGCATGCTTGTATCAAAATAGCTCATGTAACCTATAAATATATACACCTACTATATACCCACAAAAATTTTAAAAAGAGAAGTAAACATCCAAATAAACCAGCCTTCTATTAAAGGGAATATTTTTATTTCTTTTTTTTTTTTAAGAGATGAGGTCTCGCTTTGTTGTCCAGGTTAGTCTCAAACTTCTGATCACAATCAATCCTCTAGCTTCAGCCTCCCAAAGTGCTGGAATTATAAGCATGAGCCACCATGCCCGGCCTAAGGGGGTATTTTTATAGAGCATCTTGCCCTGGTTCTGGAACTATCTGTAGATAATACAGTTAACAGACATTCCCCTAAGTGATTAAGAACCTTTCCATTTGACTGATTTTTCAGCAAACTTTACCTATGTAAAGGTACCTCAGTAGGTAGCACAATGCCTGACACATAGTTGGAGCTCAAATATCTCTGAGGTAAAACTTGGTGGGGAGGGGGTAAGAGTAAACCAATAATCTATAAACCTGTATATAAACCTGTAAAAGCAATAAACAAAGATTAAGTCTCCAAAACCTTGAGCAAAAAAACCAAATAGGAAGAAAACACAGTGTATATAAAATGAATAAAAGTTTAGGCTAGGTGTGGTGGCTCACGCCTGTAATCTCAGCACTTTGGGAGGCCGAGGTGGGCAGATCATGAGGTCAGCAGATCAAGACCATCCTGGTTAACATGGTGAAACCCCGTCTCTACGAAAAAATACAAAAAATTAGCCGGGCGTGGTGGTGGGCCCGAACCCAGGAAGTGGAGCTTGCAGTGAGCCGAAAGTGCAGCACTGCACTCCAGCCTGGGAGACAGAGCAAGGCTCCGTCTCAAAAAAAAAGGTTTAAGTGCAAGGCATACTTATTGATATAATGCATATACAGTAAAAGTATACAGAAAAGGAACGATAGGGTAGAAGACAGAGAATGTCTTCCATAAGGATTCAATTATAATAGCAACATCCTTGTTCAGACAGTAGGTAATGAGGATACCTTTCTAAGTGTCCCAAACATTTCATCTTTTTTTAAATAGCTGGCCTATCTGTATGAAAATGAACTAATTTTATTAAAGGAAGATATCAGGAAATAAAACAATCTTCTGGAAATGGTTCCAGGATTCCTTTCCTTAGACATTATCTAAATACTAAAGAGCAGTTTTAAAATTTTTCCTATATGATCTACACTAAATTTCTTTTTTCTTTTTTTTTTTTTTTTGAGATGGAGTCTCGCTCTGTCCCCCTGGCTGGAGTGCAGTGGCGCGATCTCGGCTCACTGCAAGCTCCGTCTCCCGGGATCAAGCCATTCTCCTGCCTCAGCCTTCTGAGTAGCTGGGACTACAGGCGCCCGCCACCACGCCCGGCTAGTTTTTTTTGTATTTTTAGTAGAGACGGGGTTTCACTGTGTTAGCCAGGATGGTCTCGATCTCCTGACCTTGTGATCCGCAAGCCTCGGCCTCCCAAAGTGCTGGGATTACAGGCGTGAGCCACCGTGCCCGGCCGATCTACACTAAATTTCTACCAATACTCTATTCTTTCCTTTTCAAAAAAAACTAAGAAAGTTTACAGAATATTGTTTTTAAAATATTAGAAAACACATGTAGTTATACAGTTGGCCCTCCATATCTGCAGGTTTCATCTGCAGATTCAATCAACCAGGAATTGAAAATGTTTCAGGGGATTAAAAAAATCCACAAAATGTTATATTGGTCATTATTCCCTAAATAATACAGTGTTAACAACTATTTATAGAACACTTGCATTGTATTAGGTATTAAGTAATCTAGAGTTGATTTAAACTATATAACAGAATGTGCATAGGTTATATGCAAACACTATGCCATTTTACATAGGAAACTTAAGCATCCTCAGATTTTGGTATGGGGTCAGGGTAGAGTTATCCTGGAGCCAATCCCCAGAGGACACCAAGGATGACTATATACAGAAAAGATGTTGCGAATGAAATGTTTTGCCTTATCATAACTGTGACATATTTTAGATGACTATGAGAGACACCAAAAATTCAGCTTAATAAAGATTCTCATCTAATCCAATCAACAAACATTTTTTGAAAACCAACTATGAAGCCTGGCGTGGTGGCTTGTACCTCTAATCCCAGCACTTTGGGAGGCTGAGGCGGGCAGATCACTTGAGGTCAGGAGTTTGAGACCAACCTGGCTAACACGCTGAAACCCCATCTCTACTAAAAATACAAAAAAAAATTAGCCGGACGTGGTGGAGGGCGCCTGTAGTCCCAGCTACTCGGGAGGCTGAGGCAGGAGAATGGCGTGCACCCGGGAGGTGGAGCTTGCAGTGAGCCAGATTGCGCCACTGCACTCCAGCCTGGGGGACAGAGGGAGACTCTTGACTCAACAACAACAACAAAAAAAATTAGCCGGGCGAGGTGGCGGGTGCCTGTAATCCCAGCTACTTGGGAGGCTGAGGCAGGAGAATCATTTGAACCTGGGAGGCGGGGGTTGCAGGGAGCTGAGATCAGGCCACTGCACTCCAGCCTGGGGGCAACAAGAGCAAAACTCTGTCTCAAAAAGAAAAAAAAGAAAGAAAAAAGAATACCAACCAACTATGTGCCTATATTCCAGTCTAACCAACTTTTTTTTTAACGTAGGAAAATACTCCACCTACTCTTCTATAGTTTGTTTGTTTCTTTGAGACCGGGTTTTTTGCTCTTGTTACCCAGGCTGGAGTGCAATGGCGCAATTCGGGCTCCCTGCAACCTCCGCCTCCCGGGTTCAAGGGATTCTCCTGCCTCAGCGTACTAAGTGGCTGGGATTACAGGCGCCCACCACCACGTCCAGCTAATGTTTTGTATTTTTAGTAGAGACGGGGTTTCATCATGTTGGCCAGGCTGGTCTTGAACTCCTGACCTCAGGTGATCCGCCTGCCTCCACCTCCCAAAGTGCTGGGATTATAGGCGTCAGCCACCGCACCCAGCCCTCTATTATACTTTTTAAATTGTTTTTCTTTTGACCCAATAGGGAAGGAGATATGGTTCTAAATATATCATTTTAGAACAGACCCATTTCACTAAAGGAAATTCATGTGATTAACAAGATAGGACAAACTATGGCCTAAGTAGTCTTTTTTATTTTTTATCCTTTTTCTGTTATATTTTATCTAACAACCCTGATCCATGACAAGGTGAAGAAGAAGAAAAAAGCTTTCTTCTGTGACTTACAGCAACATAGCAAGTCTATGTTAACGATATTAGTTGAAATATTTTATTCTCTAACCTTTCAAAATTAAGAACTTACGAATAAATGACTCTCATAATATGAACACAAAAGTCTACTTCTGAACATAAAAATGTAATCAGAAACAATGTTTCCACAGAATAAGATGTAAAGGTATCTGAGAAAAGCATTTGGAAGTAAAGTGTGGAAACAGTAAAAAAAAAAAAAAAAAAAAAGCAAATATATGTAACGCATAAATTTCCAGTAGTATGAAAACAAAACTGTAGTAGGAGTAAATTGACAGTTTAATGTGACTCCAAAATAAGACTTTAAAATTTTCTCTAAAATTCAGCACTAGAAGCAGTTTGTTAAAGAGAAAAGGTCACCAGTGAATTAACACTCAGATGATGTATCTTGGGCAAATCCAGTTAATTCTCTTGGGCTTCAGTGTCCTTATCCGTAACATGAATCGGGGAAGGTAATCAATACCTGTATGCCCCCTTCGAAAGGTGTTCTTTCCATAATTCTGTATAACAAATTAGAATCTATTCTCAGACATACAATCATAGCTCCATGGTTATTTTGTTTCCATTTTCATTTGCATCACTTTTTAACATTTTATAAACACATCTCTTTCGATTTCAGAGCATCTAGTCTATAGCAAGCCATTTCGGCTAGCAGAGTATTAATCAGCTCAAGTCTGGATGCCAATTTGATTTTTTTTTTTTTTTAAATGTGAGGCATCCCATCTTTTCCAAACCCTAAGAACCAAGGCCTAATCAAACACCAATTTACCACACATAATGCCCTACAAAAATGCTGACAAAATTATAATCAGTTCATTCTCTGACTACGCTTCACGCATATTAGCAAGGAATGACATCTAACAAGTCACAACTTGGTGATGAGAACTTGCTGGACCAGAGAACAGCTCCAGGGAAAGCGGCAGGGAGAGGTGGTTAAAGGGAAACAACGAGAATATTGGCACCCGGATCCGGCTAGACAAGCGGGATGGCAGGAGACGGGCAGGTACGTCCCAGGCCAGGTAGGAACTGGACGCCGGGTCGAGGTAGGCTGTGTTTACACCCTCTCCAAACCTCAGCGGCCCCAACCTTCAGGAAACCCCAGGGGTCTCCACCGGGCTGGTCGCGCCCCTCCAATGCTAGTCAGCTGGGGCTCCGGGTCAAAGCGAAAAGAAGCTGTTGCTGCCGACAGGCTCGCAGCCCAGGGCTTCGGCAGGCAGGTACCACCCGCAGCCCCCACCCGCCCCTCACGCCTACCCCTGGGTCGGAGCTCCGCAGGCCTCACGGTGGCCGCCACCGCCTCAACCAAATTGAGGGGCTGCAGCTCCGGAAGAGCAGGCCGGGCACCAGTGCCCCAGCCCGCCCGCCTGCCGCCTAGGCCCAACCTCCCCGCAGTGGCGGCCAGCTTCCGGGCGCGGCACTGCTCGGCACCTACTTGCCCGACAGGAAAGGTGCGGACGTGGTACCTGCGCCTTGGTGCCCGGCCTGTTCCGCCTCAGCACTGCCGTCCCCTCCGCCATGACCATAGTGCCAGCGTCTAGGCGGCTGGAGTCGGTACCCGGATGTAGGGACTGCAGCCTGCGCAGGAGGCGGGGCAGAGCGGCGCTCTGCGTCTGGGAGGAGGAGCCGCCGCTGACGGAACAGCCGCAGCCTGCGCGGAGCAGGACGGGAGAACTGGGAGCCGGCGGGTAGAAGAAGCAGGGTAGGCGGAGGGAGAGTGCAAACGGGGAACAGCCGGACGGCGTTGGGCGGCGACTGGCAGGTACTGAGGCACCGGAAGGCGGGAGCCACGAGCCTCTTTGCGAGGTCTGCGGAGCGGTTTTGAAAGGTCGTGATCGCGGCAACTGCTGCGGCAGTGTGCACGGCTGCGTTGCAAGTTGGTATGGGCTCTTGTTAGTTACGCGGGAAGAACGGACTTCGTACAGTGGCGGCCATTTCAGTAAACCCACGTGCAAGCAAATACGTAGAGAACCCTAATTCTGTCCCAGAAGCCACCTAAGGAATCAGGGTAGAAAACAGGCCAGCAGTCTGGGGAAATTCCAAAGAACCTGCGTGAAATCGACCCAATCTGAAATCAGACTAGGGATTTCAGTGTCAGTGTTATTTCCGCCATCCGGCGACTTAAAAGCCAAGGACTTTTTCAATGACAAGTTTGTTTACGTCGATGAAAGACGCAGATGTCAATTACGTGACCTGAAGAGTGGGCATCTGGTTTTGTGAATTAGGTAGACAGATATAGCTCGTGTTTTTCAAGTCAGAAGCAGGAGGAGGAAATTAGTAGTCCTTGATATACTTCACGTCTTACAGGATTCCACATTTCCTTTGTTGCACATTTCAAGTGTTCTCTCTTAAGAAACCACAGCATTTTCGCAAACTTTTTTTCCTGCTTAGAATCCTTGAATCTTTTATCTGGGCTGAGGGAGGCCTTGGGATATCAGATGGAAAGACAGTTCAAAAAGTAAAAAACGCATACAGTAGCATGATTTCCAAAAGAAGAAAACATCAAATGTCCTTAGAAGGTGTATGAGAATGCTCAGGGAAGAAACGGAATTTGTTGAGTGGGTCTCTAGCTGAGTAATTGTCAGTGACTTAGAACTAGGCTTTGAAGGGTTTAACAACAGGAAGTTGGTTCTCTGGAAGATGTATTGACTGGTAACTTTTCAAGAATAGGGACTTAATTTTGCCCTCCCAGCACCAGCGTCTACATATGAAAAGATTTATTCGTTCAACAGATACTCATTAAGCCCCACTCTATGGTAGGCGCTAAGGTACAACTATGATAAAGCTCCGTCCTTCACTACAAATTGCTTTGACTCCAGCAACAGAGACGTGCAAATCACAAATTCGTACAAGGGTTAAGTACTCCTTATCTTAAATGCTTGGGACCAAAACACTTTCAGATTTCTGATTATTTTGGATTTTAGAATATTTGCATATACATAATGAGATTTCTTGGGGATGGAACCTAAGTTTAAACATGAAATGCATTTGTTTCCTATACACTTTACACACATAGCCTGAAGTTACTTTTATACAATACTTTAAATAGGCCAGGAACGGTGGGTCACACCTGTAATCCCAGCACTTTGGGAGGCCAAAGGGGGCAGATCACTCGAGGTCAGGAGTTTGAGACCAGCCTGGTCAACATGGTAAAATCCCATCACTACTAAAAATACAAAAATTAGCCAGGTGTGGTGGCGGGCGCCTGTAAAACTTCAAATAATTTTGTGCGTGAAACAAAGTTTTGACTGCGACCTGTTACAGAAGGTCAGGTATGGAATTTTCCACCTGTGGCATCATGTGGATGTTCAAAGTTTCAGATCTGAGAACATTTCAGATTATGGACTTTTCAGATTATGGATGCTCAACTTGTATTAGATACAGTGAGAGCCTAGGACAAGTGACACCTAAATGTTACCTCCCTTAGAGAGATGGATTGGGTCTGTGAGAGTCTCAGGGAGGCCTCTTGGTCTATGGATGACTCACCTCACTTACTGCAAGGATTAAGTTTACATTTCCCAGATTGTGTGGTATCTCCCTGAGCTGTAAATAGTCACCTATACTTGAATGGGATCGTCTTCACCTTCTCTTAATTCCAGATTTATTAAAACGTTTCAACCCATCTGAAACAAACAAAAAAACATGAATGAGTAGATGTTAAATTCGGGAACAAAATGCACATTCATTGTTTTGGAAAAGTCCAATAAAGTTGCATTCTGATGTCAACCCTGGCCTTGTTCACAGGAAGGACCTTGTTCTTTAGGGATGGAATGTTTCTAGCTGATAACCTTCATATTTTCATTCTTCTTTCAGCCTGTAGATTATGTACCTCCAAACAAGACCAATTTTATAACTAGGGTTAATTTGTCTGGGGTAGGAAGAGAGAGAATAGAAAAACAAAAAGCATGATTAGCAATAACAGTTACATGAAATACTTGAATATTTCAGGTAAAGGAGGAGCCATCTGTTTAAAGCCTATATGCACCAATAGGAATAGCTCTGGACTGAGATTCAGAAAATCTAGATTTGTGGGGAAGAGAAAGAGAGATCAGACTGTTACTGTGTCTATATAGAAAGAAGTAGACATAAGAGACTCCATTTTGTTCTGTATTTGAGATGCTGTTAATCTGTGACCCTACCCCCAACCTTGTCCTTTCAAGAGACGTGCTATGGTGACTCAAGGTTTAAAGAATTTTTGGGCTGTGCAGGGTGTGCTTTGTTAAACAAGTGCCTGCAGGCAGCTTGCTGGTTAAAAGTCATCACCATTCTCTTAATCTCAAGTACCCAGGAATATGCATACTACCAAAGGTCTCAGGGACCTCTGCCTAGGAAAGCTAGGTATTGTCCAAGGTTTCTCCCCATGTGATAGTCTGAAATATGGCCTCGTGGGAAGAGAAAGACCTAATCATCCCCCAGCCTGACACCCTTGAAGGGTCTGTGCTGAGGAGGACTAGTGCAAGAGGAAAGAAGGCCTCTTGGCAGTTGTTGGCAGTTTGAGATAGAGAAAACATCTGTCTCCTGCCCGTCCCTGGGCAATGGAACATCTCAGTGTAAAACCTGATTGTATGTTCTGTTTACTGAGAAAGGAGAAAACTGCCTTAGGGCGAAGGGTGGGCCTTGCTAGGGCAATGCTGCTGTTTATGTACTAAAAAGGTTTATGGAGATGTTTGCATATGCATGTCAAGGCACAGCATTTTTCCTTAAACTTATTCATGTTACAGAGATCTTTATTCATATATCTTACTGCTGACTTTCTCCCTGCAATGACCCTATTGTCTTGCCACTTCCTTTTTTTTTTTTTTTTTTTTGAGACGGAGTCTCGCTCTGTCGCCCAGGCTGGAGTGCAGTGGCCAGATCTCAGCTCACTGCAAGCTCCGCCTTCCGGGTTCACGCCATTCTCCTGCCTCAGCCTCCTGAGCAGCTGGGACTACAGGCGCCCGCCACCTCGCCCGGCTATTTTTTTTGTATTTAGTAGAGACGGGGTTTCACCGGGTTAGCAAGGATGGTTTCGATCTCCTGACCTCGTGATCCGCCCGTCTTGGCCTCCCAAAGTACTGGGATTACAGGCTTGAGCCACCGTGCCTGGCCGCCACTTCCTTTTCTTTAAGATGGTAAAGATGATTATCAATAAATACTAAGGGAACTCAGAGACCGGTGCCGGCGTGGGTCCTCTGTATGCTGAGCGCCGGTCCCCTGGGCCCACCTTTTCTTTCTCTATACTTTGTCTGTGTGTCTCATTTCTTTTCTCAAGTCTCTCATTCCACCTAACGAGAAACGCCCTCCACAGGTGTGAAGGGGCAGGCCACCCCTTCATAGATTCTCTTGCCTGTTAACTGTAAGACATTGAACAAGCTATCAAATAAATGTTTCTTCATGTGTAATGAAGATTGTGCATAGCAGTTCTTTCCCTCTGCCCCATAAAGTATGAAAGCAAGCATAAAATTAAATATGGAACTCTTGAAGTTTTAGAAGAAAATATTTTATAAAGCGAAAGTATCATAAGCAATTTCTTTTTTTTTTTTTAATTTTTATTTTTTGAGATGGAGTCTTGCTCTGTCGCCCAGGCTGGAGTGCAGTGGCCGGATCTCAGCTCACTGCAAGCTCCGCCTCCCGGGTTTACGCCATTCTCCTGCCTCAGCCTCCGAGTAGCTGGGACTACAGGCGCCCGCCACCTCGCCCGGCTAGTTTTTTGTATTTTTTAGTAGAGACGGGGTTTCACCGGGTTAGCCAGGATGGTCTCGATCTCCTGACCTTGTGATCCACCCGTCTCGGCCTCCCAAAGTGCTGGGATTACAGGCTTGAGCCACTGCACCCGGCCAGCAATTTCAAATTATCCATGAGCTTCAAATCATTGACACATTAAAAAAAATTATCCAATATGAAATTCACTTTGGGGAATTTTTAAATCCAAGTAAAAGAGTTAATGCAGGCCAGGTGCGGTGGCTCAAGCCCGTAATCCCAGCACTTTGGGAGGCCGAGGTGGGCAGATCACATGGTCAGGGGTTCAAGTCCAGCCTGGCCAACATAGTGAAATCCCCATCTCTACTTAAAAAAAATACAAAAATTAGCTGGGCACAGTGGTGCGCACCTGTAGTCCCAGCTACTTGGGAGGCTGAGGCAAGAGAATCGCTTGAACCTGGGAAGCAGAGATTGCAGTGAGCTGAGATTGAGCCACTGCACTCCAGTCTGGGTAACAGAGTGAGACTCCATCTCAAAAAAAAAAAAAAGAGTTGATGCATATTATATGCAAGGCACTGGGCTAAGTGCTGAAAAACACGAAGATATATAAGACAAGCTTTCCTCAAAGAGCCTTGAAATTAATGGGAAAGCATCTTATGTAGATTACTACAGTATAAGGCTGAACGCCTTAAGTATTGAAGCAGCCCCTTTCACATGCCCTTTGCAAACAGACTCTGATCTTGCTCAGTGTTCATCTCTCACCCTATGACCAGGGAAAGGTAAACTCATGTCTAGCTGAGGGATAAATTCCTGTTGGTCTAAGTGTGAAAAGGCCAGACTCTGTGGTTCACACCTATAATTCCAGCACTTTGGGGGGCTGAGATGAGAAGATTGCTTGAGCCCAGGAGTTCAAGACCAGTCTGGGCAACATAGTATGACCCCCCCCCCACACACACACACACACCCATCTCTACAAAAAAATACAAAAATTAGCTGGGCATGGTGGCACACACCTGTAGTCCGAGCTACTCAGGAGGCTGAGATGGGAGGATTGCTTCACCCTGGGAGTTCAAGGCTGCAGTGAGCCATGATTGCATCACTGCACTCTAGCCTGTGTGGCAGAGTGAGATCCTGTCTCAAAAAAATTACAAAGTAAAATAAAGCAAAGCAAAGAAATGTGAAACGTTGTGATGAAGCACTTTGGAGAAAGATTCACTTGCTCTTCAGAAGATACCAAAAGAGATGCTCTCTTTTTTCTGCCAATGGATATTGCCCAATATGGGCCTGCAGCAGCCATTTTGGCTTAAAGGAAGCCAGTCTAAAAGCAAAATTGGCACACTGTGAATGATGTATGTAGTTGGAATGTGTCTTAAAGTATGGATAGCATTTATGTGCAGAGCTACAGGAGATTTCATTACAAGCCAAGCAAAGTTGAAGCAGCAGGGAAGCATGGGAACGTATATTCACAGTTGAACAAGTCAGTGCCTATGTTTCATACATCTTCAACAAATTATTTGAACATTATTC